AATTATATAGTAAAAATGGTCTGGTCTGGGGTTGGAAAGGGAAAGCTTGAAGAGGGATAAAAGGGGAGCTTCTGGTATTACGCTCTGGTCTACCCCCACAACACAGAAACGCATGAATGCTTCCTACCTCTATCTAAAATTCTTCTCCACACCGCTCAGCACATTTCTGGAAAGGACGGTTATGATGTAACTGTCTAGCGCAACTGTCAGTAATCTCATAGCATCCTGAAATGTAACCTTTTAAAAAAAAAAAACCTTCCTGACAGAGAGGGACAAAATCTGATATACTTCCTTCTGGTACCCGTTAGCTATCGTGCATGGCAAAATCTAAAAATAAATGGGTTTGCAAGCTACTGCAGCTGTGTTTACTTTCCAAGCTACTATTAAAGTTCTTTATTATCTGCATATCAAACACATTAATTTTACTAAATGAGAGTTATTTTTAAGTGTCATGAAGAATTATATTGGTTAATTCACACTAGAATGCTTGCAGGATACAGACAAGTGTCGCCGCTCATTGTTGACTTTAGTCTGTGTCTAAAAACTCAGGCAAATTGCTTAAATAATGGATGTTTTGAAAATACAATATAAAGAGAGCTGATTCTTTTGAAGGTCGGTCTGGCTAAAATAGTCCCCTTCTCTGGCAGAGCACCAGGTGTGTGGGCGTAAATGCTGGCAATGCTTTAGCCAGTTGTTGTGTTTTTGGCGCGAGCAGTGCAGACTTAAAGTGATTTAGCTGCTACCTGTGAGATGAGAGGCAGTCCCATCATCCCATGAGGGTCTGTCATAATCCTCCCAGCCTTTCAGATTCTCTTTCTGTTGTCTTTGTCTCTCCCCTTCCCTTCTCTTTGAGGAGATCTTTTGCTACAGTGAGCATCTGGAAAAAGCAGACAGTGTCAGGGAGGCCACCCAACACTCCTTATTGGCTTACAGGGAGATACAAGGAGCCTTTGTGTTTAAAAGTGCAGGATTCTAGAGGATGTGCCGTCTTGTGCAGTGCTATCCCAGATGGACCCTTCTTTGTTTTTGGAGCTTTGTATAGCACTATTTATGCGGAGTATGACTCACAGTTTTGGTACCATTGTAGAGCATTTCAAATCATTCACCAGTTGGCAACACACTGGTTTTTGGAACAGAGCCTATGTGTGGAGGTACTTGTGTGTAGAAATAAATCTACAGTGTGCAAGTGTGACAGTATAAGAGATGGACACTATCACTATAGGTTTCTTGTTTAACATGTCAGCTTCTCTGTATTTTGTGCAAGACTTTGTCTAATGCCAGTGTTTTCCTTCTTAGTGGAAAAGAAATGATAGTTTTGGCTTCCTGTAACATATTGTTCTTAAGTGCTGACTGGGAAATCAGGGTGCACTGTGTCAGGCGTGAATCATGTGTACATTTATCAGAATTTAGTCTAAGTTACACACACAGGAGTAAAACCAATACCATTAGTAACAAACAAATCATTTCAGACCCCAAGAGTTCACACCTCAAGGTAATAAAGACGATTTATAATTAATTTACGCCCAAGTAATGGACAGGTAATTGCTTGGGTTCCATATGCCGTAATAAATAGAAGGATTGCCAAGGGAAAGAGACAGAAGAGGACTAATGGAGGTTTAATTGTAGATGATATCTGACAGGATATTTTCTCAGAGATGTTAAATGGTGTGTTTTCATTGTGATTCAGACCACATACAGTACATCCTGTGTGGAATATATCTCAGGAAATTAAGGTTTTCTCAAAGACATTTAACAGTTTAGCTTTCATCTGAGGAAAACAGCAGGATGAATGTCTGAGACATACTAGTTATTTAGCATTTAAGATTGTGTTCACGGGCCGAAAGATATTTACGTATACGATTTGACATACAAACAAACTGAACTTTCTCTCCGCCTTCAAGTGGGTGCATGTGTGGTACAACCATATGGAGCTTTTGGTAGTTTGTGGGCAGGCTGATTTGACACCCGGGCTGTGGAACACACAAGTTTGCCTTAATTGACTTATAAAATGGCCTAAAATGCTGTTTTATGGAGCCATTTTCAGACTACTCTCACGGGATTTGATATCAAGTCATACTTTGCAATGCAATGTGTGACGGGCACTCTTTATTTCCTGGCCAAGTTCTCATAAACTTTAATCTTTCATGAGTAAAAAAAAAAAAAAAGTTGGCTTACCAGAGAGCTAACGTTTCACCAAATATGCACTTTAAATAGCATATGGATGGATAAGGGCATTAATTCATGGTCTGTGTGTGGCGAGGACTGGCTACAGGAAGAGTAGAGATAGGGTGGAGAAGTCAAACTTACAGCTGTGAGGATATAAATGACCCCGCGTTCTTTGTATGCTGACAGCTCTGGCTTTGGTGATACGTCTAGTAGGCCCCTGTGAGTCCTGCAACTGCGGTCTTTGTTGTCACAGTCAACTTGTGTTCCCCTCTGTGGCCATTCCAGGGGGCTGACCGGCCTGGGCAAACACAGAGGGAGACGTGATGCATGGCTCCCAGCCAGATCAAGCTTCTCCTCTGCAGGGTGCTCCCAGCAGTCGAGTGGAGTTGAGTCATCCTTCAGGCTGCAGGGAAACGAACAGACACTCCAGCTTTGACTATGACAGGAGCTGGAGGGGGGATGTGACTTTTCACAGTCAGATCCAAACCCAGGCAGGGCTCGGACTCCAGACCAACCTGCTAAATACCAGAGCCAGGTGGACGACGGGATAGATAAGATAGCTTTTGAGAAGAAAAATATAGCCGTTCAGTGTAACATCACCTTTAAAGGAGTAGTTCATAGGAATAGTTCAAATCTGAGATTTTCAACTGTTGTGCTTTTTTTTAACATTGCAGGACATTAACTTGATGCACTAGTCACTTTCACACGATTTCTGTCACAAGATTTTCCATTTTTAGAGTTTAGATATGATCAGATAGGATTCGTAACGGAAGAATTTAGTAGAGTCTTAAAGTGCATTCCTTCCGAAATCAACCTTGGGTTCAGTTATGTTACTGCTTGAAATATTAAGATGGATGTTAATCCTTTCTTCAGCAACAAAAATGAATAGGTATGTTAATCCTGAGCTATTAAGCCTCAGGTTTTCTGTAGCCTCTGTAGTTCTGTAAGAACAGTCCTAAAGCAGGCAAAACAGTCATAGCTATAGTATTTATTTGCAGCTGCCTCTAATATGGAAGTTTCGATCTTTTACTCTATTCAATATTCTTAAATGGGCTTATTATTTATGAAATGGCAGAGAGTGATATGCTTGGGCAAGAGCAAAATAACAGTGGCGATAGACTGATTTATCTATCTGGTCTATTATTTTCAGGCTTCTCTGCCAATAGGATACTAAGATCAGTGACTCTTGGGATTCAATGTGTCTAATTTTTTTTTTTTTTAACAAGAGTGTTTCAAGGGTTTGTTCTTAGGCCAGGTATGTTGAGCCACACCCTTATCAGTCATGCTGTCATACTTTACCAGTGAAATACTCACTGTACACTCAACGTTATGAATTGCCTGTCTGTCAAAATGCCCCATTTGCTTCAAAAAAAATCTAATGCGTAATTCATATGTTTTAAAACGAGTCATAGCAGAGCTCTCATACCTTACTATTTTATCAAAAGATGAGCCCAGCGCTGTAGCCCATGGCCTTGTCAAGGAAACAAGTTGATTGCACTGCATATACAAAGCATATTAAATTTGACAGGAAAAACAGTGATTGTGGAAGAAATCTGTGAGACGGCAAAGGTAATGTATTGGCATCTAAGATGGAAGTAAATAGATGTCGAGATGGATTACACAGTCTTTTGTCTTGCACAAGTTGCAGTACAACCCATTTCTGAATTATATACAGTAGTGAACTTATTTGTGGGAGGTATAATTGAGATGAAAGGTTAGGGTGATAAGTGAAAGTGAGGGAGGGAAAAGTAGCTTGACCGACATTTCCCACTTTCTTGCCATATGACGCAGATGCATTGTTAGTGCTCTTTAATTTTGCTCCTGTACCATGCCATTATGGATGCTGGGTCATGTGTGCCACAGGGAAGAAAAAATCACGTGATCTGGTTGTGGGTTTTGGTCCAGAATTTGTTGCCTCTAGGAGAAAAAATTATCCAATAAAAAGTAATCTGCAAAATAAAAAGTTGTATTTTGCACAATTTCCATAGGTCACATCTGTAAATTTTTTCCCCACTGCTTTTACACTTGTGGATGTGCAAGTGGGAGAATGAGAGGCAAGTATTAACCTGTGATTGTCTATCCCTCCATCTCCAAATGGCCTTAAAGCAAAAAGCACTAGTCTCTTTGGACATATAACTTTTTTTTCTAGGGTCAGCTGCTCAAAGCACTCACTTGAAAGGTGCTGTATACATAGATTTTCCAAGCAGAGAAATAACACTTTACTGCCAAACTTTCAGCTGCTTATAGTCAGGCCACAGCCAAAACACTCTTAGCCAAAGTAAACCTGAATATAAGCAATGTCTGAAGCACCCAAAGAAGGTCATACACAATTCCGTGTCTTTTCACCGAGATATTTTGTCATAGTATCTAGTGTGGTATATTTTCTGTACAGTTTGATGCTTTAATTTGCAATTCTTGTTGATTTATGTGAATGAGAAGTAGGCCTACTGTGTGCCAAAACTGCTGCAATTCTGCCCTCTTCAGGTGAGAAGTGGAATTGCTTGGTCTCAGTCTATTTTCCAGTGCTACAAAATAAACCTTTTACCACCTGAGTGATTTCTTTTGTGTAATTACAATTTATACATAATGATGGAGTAGTATAGCATATTTTGATATTTTTTATGTAAATGAATGCAATATTATCTAAAGTGAGAACTGACATTTTCTTATCCTCTCTCTTCTATTTTCAGAACATCAAGATGACAGATAACCATTCCATCATCAGGGAAATGAAGAGATAAGGAAGACAGAAAATAATCCTGTGCTTTGAGCTTCTGTTACCACAGGCCTATTGATTCTGACTGGAACACAATGTGTCCATGTCGCAGCCTGCGCAGATAAGGACCAGCGTGCTAAACTAGCCACACCGGCATCATGACTGAAGAGACTAAACAGCCCTTGGCTGCCAAAGAGCTGAATAATGAGTCCAAAAAACAGGATAAGGGGGCTGTGGAGCATAAAAGCTTAAAAAAGTCCCCTGAGCACTTTCACAATGTGTGTCTGGAGCCACACGCTGTGAACAATCTTGCTAAGTTTGCAGAAAAAGAGAGAGACAACACGCAGCAACGTGAGGCTGTGATTCGGCCACAGCAGGCTGGAAAGATTGATTTTAAGTCACTGCAGAATCATTCATTCAACAGCAACAGGACGTGGCCCAGCGGCAAGGACAGCCCTCAGTCACCTAGTGGAAAGAGTCGCAATAGAGACAAGAGTAAAAAGTCAGGAAAAGGAGAGCGTGGCAACCCGCAGCAGTTGTACAGACTGAGTATTACAAACCCACGCTCAAATCCCACAATTGGGATAGCCTATCCCCAGCAGAAAGTCTCACCTCCAAAGAAGATTGAGTCCAGCAGGGGTCCTGTCTCAGGCAGCTACTGCTTCCATGTGCCAAGTATTCCAGAGCGAGAGGCTGAACTGCATCAGGAAGAACTACAGTTCAGATGCTTCCAGGACAGCTCGCCTAACCTTACTTCCCAAAGCTATACCTCACAGGCTGTTGCCGCCCCCTCTGGAGGACCAGCTCACCAGAATCCACCACAACCGCAACAGAATCCCAGCCCAATCGAGAGCAACAGCACACAACCTGCCAATGAAACTTTATTCCCTGACTTTCAACTGAGCGAAACGGACACATGGCAGTCTCCAGACAGGACTTTCAGAAGCACTAGTTTTGGACTTACTTCACAAAAGCCAAACAACCTTGTGGACTTGAACAAGACCAATGGTAGTTTTATGCCTATGCCATTTCAGTACGGATACCCATTGCTAGAGGAGTCAGCCTCCGATTCCTTTCCCTGTGATCGAAATACACAGTCTCAAGATTACATTGACATTTCTCTTGCCCCTAACCAGGTTTCTCATAATTCATTTTCCTTTCCATCCTCTGCAGAGGGACATGAGGCCATGCAAAATAATGCACAGTTTGGTAATGACCAGGTAGAGGACAGGCAGTCATACCAGTTACACCCTAAAGCACCCCAGTACATGCAGACACAACATGGTGTGCAGTCATCTGTTCCCAGCAATGATGAGAGCTCAGTATCGAGCACTCGCCAATCAGAGCAGAGTAAAAGTGTTTCAGATCAATCTGATTCTTTTAGTCCAGTAGACAACAGGGAAACAGGCTTTGCGGTAGTGGGCAAGAGAGGCTGCCATCTTAAAAATGGCACCACCAGCCAGAAAGTTCTTATTCAAGGCAGTGTTCATCATATTAGGAATATAGCGCAAGGTTCCAGTTCCCAAATACATGTCATTAGCCCTCCACATAATGGTATTCACATCAGCCCAGGGCCTCTTGACAAAAGTGTAAGTAAACACCATGTCAGGGTATCACACCCATGGGATGGACCAAACAAAGCCTTCCCACCACCACTCATAGACCAGACCTCTACGCCTTATCCCTTTCAGTACCAACCAGCACCAGAACAGAGACAAAGCGGCATTAATGGTCGTATGCCTTGGCAGCAGATACGCTTCACAACTGCCATGCCAAACCAAAACAGGATTGATCTCTCCAGGCAACTGAGCAATCAGCAGCTTACTTTTTTGATAGGCCCATCAGACTGGCAAGATGACAGTAAGCCACACAAAAACAGCAACCAGAAAGATTCTAATAACTTTCTCAACAAAAAGACAAATGAGGGCTTCTCAAACCAAAGGCAGGACAGTGTCAAGCAAGGCTGCAACACAATTCCACCATGTCATTTTACAAACAAGGTAGATACAAATCAAAACCAGGTGGGTGATGCCAAGAATAAGTCATTATACTTTGGTATTAACCCCTCAGTGCCAGTGACATTGTCAAGAAACTGTAGCTACCCTCCGTTACATGTAGTACCCTTAGGGCTGAAGATGGTGTCACCATATGACTCTCCTTCACATTCGCCTACTCAAAATCCAGCATCTAGCAGTACATGTTCATCACTCTCCCCAGCCTCCACAAACTCTGTCACCAGTAATTCTGATGACAGCCAAATTTCAAAGGTTCTGTCCCCTCAGTTTTATCAGCAGCAACAGGACAAGGCAGTGATATCATCTAGTAGCATGAACACCAACCAGCATCACTACCATTCGGAAGCATCCAGAGGCTTGCACTATAAACAAGAAAAAGCCAAAAAGAACATTGCAAGCTTCATGTCACATAACAGGCATTCAAAGTCCAACATGGACAACGGGAAAGGTTGTCTGGAGACCTACAGAACAGAAAACCATCCCCCACCTCCGTATTCTGCCCACCAACTCGCCACATCATTAGTCTCAGCAAACCTTGACCAACTGGATGTGCTTTTGACATGCAAGCAATGTGATCAGAATTTTAATGACCTTGTCTCTTTTCTTGACCATAAGCAATACTGTGGACAGCATACATTTGCACAAAATGACTTTAAAGATGTGCCAAAGGTGGAAGACATAAGGAAGTTTCAGACAGACCACGCAAAAGCCATGTCATCTGGATCCAGTTACACAATTTTGCGGAGTTCTTCAGATTTGCATCTGTCTCTGCTTGGACTAAACAAGAATGGGGAAATAGTCCCAGATAATGAAACCAAAGGAGATATAAAAGATGATCCAATGAAACTGATGCTACCATCTGCCCCCCTGCCGGATTTAGAAATGGAAGATCCCAAATTGGATAGCCTTATCACAGAGGCTTTGAACGGACTAGGCTATCAGTCAGACAATGCAGAGATTGATAGCAGCTTTATTGATGCATTTGTTGATGATGATCTCACCACTACTAAATGTACATCAACAAGACAGACTTTGACTACCAAAGACTCCACAACATTTGAAGGTAGAACAAACAGTGAATCAACATCCAGCGAGAGATCTCAAGCTCACAGCAAATATCCTTTTGACTCAGACTTAGACAGCCTTAGTTCAGACAGCAAACTCACAGACAGCCCTTTCAAAGAAAGCCAACATGAGTTGATACAGAAAGAAGGCCTCAAAGCAGAAACCTCTCCGACAGAGTCCCAGTCACAGGAGTCAAACTGCACACAGATCGAGTGGGAAACAAAAAAGTCAGAGCAAAGAGAAGAGGAAAATGATTATAGTTCTAAGTTTCTTCTATCAAGCAAGTTTTCTGCAAGATGTGGACTTAAAAGCTTGCAGAGTAGCACAGAATTAGTGAAAACAACATCCACCTGTGCCAGTAAAAGTCCAACAGCTCAGAAACCAATACCAACAGAAGGAAAAAGGAGGAGGACAGGTGGCGGAAGCTGGAGTAAAGAGCTTATTCACAAAATTGTTCAACAAAAGAACAAATTGCATAAACTCCATGTGAAGGGCACCAAAAACATGCAGTTTTCACTTGTGATGGAGAGAGTTACTCCTGCAGTGCAGAACCCTACTTTCAGGGAGTATGATTACGTTTCTGACTCAGACGATGACTGTGAGCCTGTGAAGATAGCCAGTCAAGGACGTCTCAGCCAGAGCATTCGTTGCAAGTACACATACACTAAGGAGTGCAAGGGGAGGATTCGTGCTGACAAGAGCCGGGAAAGTTCATGGAAACAAAACAAAAATGAGTGCTTTGATCCCAAGAAAGCTTTGGATGTCTCTCCATCCTTGATGAAAGTCAACCCTGGTCACCAAAGGCGCAGAAGACGGAGCAGTAGGTCTTCCACAAGTAGTGAACTCAGCACATCAATAAGTATTTGCAGCGATAGCATTGGCAGCCCGAAAAGTACTGATCATACAGATTCTGACTCTGAGAAACGAATAGAAGTACAAAGGAAAGATCAAGACTCTCTTGAACAGAATGCGTACGAACAATCGCCAGCAAGGATACGGAAAGAGTCTAGCACATCACTGGCATTGACCTTTACGAAAAATACAAAAAGGTACAGCACTGATAAGATACTACTCACTGAGCAGAAGGATCGGTTCACTACTTCAAAATGTTCAAGCATTATCTGTAAGACTGAAGAGACTGCATCAGATCATACAATGACTAAAAGTACTGTCAGCCTTGCCAGATTTAAAACCACCAGAGTGGAAATAGAGGAAAAAGGGGACCACTTCGGGTTTGAGGCAGGAATGCTTGCAACCACAGAAGAGCCATTCAAAAAAGATTGCCCAAAAAATATCACATCACCAAGAGGGTCTGGTATAACACCAAATCCAATGGAAACCACCAACAATAGAGATTCTAGCCATGTTTTTAAACTCAAAAAAGATGCTGTCACATCAAAGGGTAAATCCCACAAGAAAAGAACAAGTAGTTCTGAATTTTCAGCACCCTTTTTTGAGAAAGCCAGCAATGACAGCATATCAAGTGAACTCCAAAATATTCCACTTCTCAGCATCCCCTACCATACCAAAAGTTGAAAATGCCCTGTGTGTAGAAAAAATACAGAAATGTGATGAAGATTCAGCTCTAATTGCAAAGCCAGAATTAATTTCTGAAGACAATGGGCATGCAACAGGTGAAACAACAGACTGTTCGTCTGATACAGATATCCAACAACCCAGTTCAAACATCACGCCTCCTCATTGTGAAGACCAGTTGTCAACCCATTCACAATTAATTCATACACAACAGGTGGTTTCTCCTAAACATCTTCCTGTAGTTCAAGTTGAACATGAATGTATAGACAGTGTGGAGAGAGCCATGCCTGATATGACATTGTTTTCTGTGCAATCAGAATGTGAAGAGAATCAAAAAAAGAACAGAGTTGAGAGTCCTCAACTTCTTATTTTGACTTCTTACAAGTCTATCCAAAGTCCTTCTGAGCTGAGAGATAATGGTCCACTACCAAGTACAGTTACCCCTTCACTAAGTAAAAGCAGACCAGCCCTGGAACACAATAACTCAGATCAAATAAATATTGGCAAGTCAGACACTTTTGATCCAGCAACAACAGCATTAGATAATTCATTTAATCCCCATCTGGATTTAGTAGAAATTACAGGAAGTAACATTTCTAGCCCTGGAACACTGTTGGCTGTGGACAAAATCTCAAAACAACCTTTTTCTGAGCATTCTGGGGGACTGGATAACTCTCAAGATGATTTGAAACTCAGCCCCCTGAATTACAGTGAAACATGTTTCAATGAATACAGCTTCACCTCTAAATGTTCAAACAAAGGAAATGACCAGCCTGATGTAAAATCAAACTCTACAGACAGTTACATTCTCAATGCCTGTGCTTTATCTCTTGATAAACCATTGTCATCCAGCCCAACATATAATGCAAATGAACAAGAGCCAAATATTCAGGGCCATCTGACTGGATTTGATATACCCGAAACCTCTATAAATAATAAACAAAATGATATCAAATATTCAAGTGTCTCAGCTTCCTGCAATAATTATGTTGAGGAAGGCAGTACGATTATCTCTGAACAAGTCTCAAAACTTGGCCAAACTGACATGGATGGTAGTCACCTTCCACCTGAAACTGTTGATTACATGGATCTGCACCTCAAATTTCACAAGAAAGCAGATTCTGAAAAACTGGACCACCAGATCATCACCGATGAGCATGATTCAATGCAGAGGTCAACAATGTCAGATGTTAAGGAGATACCTAAACCTCTGATACAATGTGCAAAAGTAGCATCCATGGGTCTCACATTCACATCTGTCCAAAATGAAGAACCAAGTTTAAAGTCAAATGAGACAAAAACATCACAGAAAAAGGGTGGTACACAGAATGCAGTACAAGGAAAATTTCAGTGTGAAATATGTGCAATGTTCTTTCGTACACAACCTGGACTTAAAAGACATAAAGCCATGAAGCATGTAGTAAAGACTGAAGGAATTTCTCCCATTGAAAATCTAAATATGAGCAGGCAAATGTTCATGCCAATTTTAATGCCATACCCAATGGAAAAAGCACTGAAAGGTAGCATGGATGTTTTAAGTCCAGCAGTTATTTTACATCCAAACAGAAGTGAAATCTCAGATGGACAAGAACAGCAAGCAGATCCACATTTGATCTTTCAAGGGATTGCAAGTGATTCTGATGTGTCAAAGATCCCAAGAAGTTGTGATATTGATCAGAGAACTTCTCTAAATGAAAAAGCAAATAACAGTAACACCACTGTGGAAATTAGCAGTGAAATGTTTGCTCCAAAACTGGTAAAGCAACACACCTTTTCAGATGAAAAACTCAGTACTCTTCAAACAGATATATTGCAGGCTATCTCTCCAGATTTTCTCTCAATGGTACAACAAAACTGTCCTAAGTCACCTGAAAAACAGGTCCCAAATAGCAGTCACAACTATCATGAAGTCAGTGTGAGGGAGGAACAGAAGAGCATGGTAGTAACCAACAGCAGTGAAGAGCAAATGGAAGAAACCACTTCTTCCATAGGGCATTCTGTATTGCATAAGGAAGGAGACACATATGACACTGACGAAGTTGTGACAAAGTATTGCGCTATTAAGCCAAATTATGTTCAGACAGAAGATATCCACTATCCACTTGGGGATTCTTCTGTGGATATCAAGCATGAGAACACCTGTTCTCCCGCAGAAGACAGTCATGCACTTACTGAAACTTTAGGAATAGCACCTGATCTCAAGGCTTTCTTTGATGATGAAAGCACTTTTTCTCAATTATTCCCAAGAAATTATGACAGGAAAAGAAAGAAATGTGCAAGGGTCTATGGTAAAAGCAACAAAAAGCAAAAACAACTGTCCTGTTTAATTTTAGACTTACCTCCCACTGGTGCCTTTATTGATAAGTATGAGGAGTCTAAAGAAAACAAGATGGGGCACAAGTTTACCAGAGACATGTATGACCCTTGTGAATATGAAACCATATTGACCCCCAAAAGCTTAGTCAAGAGTTCTATGGAGAATGCATGTCATTCAAAAGATGACCTAATGGATAACCAGGCTGGTTATGAGGAAAATATAGAAACTGGCATTAAAGAATTATTATGTGAAAAAGAGGGAACAATCAGACAACCCTTAGAGCATCAGGATTATTTGCATGATTGCATTGTGTCAGAGAACACAGTTCCTCAGGAAGATTGTAAACCAGAGGTTCCTGTTACAGCCTGCCCTCTCCAAATGGTCTGTGTTCAAGATAATGCCTCTTGTTCGCCAAGCACTGAGATACCTAACCTTAACACTACAATTCAGATTCCTGTACCATTTTTTGAGCCTGAGAGAGATATGCCTTTGGTTGAGACCATTGCAAGCACAGAACTGAAAGACCCTGAAAGGAAAAAGCCTGTGGAGCGGAAGTGTAGGAAACGCATTGAACCTGGACTTAAACCTAAAGATAAGCAGTACAAATGCAAAGTGTGCTTCACATGGTTTCTCACCTTAGGTGAGCTCGACTTCCACAAGCTCTCTCACAATCCATCACCTCCCCCAACTTGCTATATGTGTGTCCAGCGCAAGTTTAGCTCACGAGAACAACTTAGGGACCATCTCAGGGAGAAACATGCCAAAAACAAAGCAGGTGTTTGGACTTGTGGCATGTGCTTGAAAGAAATTTCAGATGTCTGGATGTACAATGAACACTTGCGTGAGCATGCCACACAGTTTGCACGAAGAGGCCAGTCTCAGAGCTCCCTCTTGGACATGCCTGGGTGTTTCATGCAGGAAAATGCTGTGAAGAACTTCATATCTTCAATAATGCAGCATCGACCCAGCAGAACTACAAAAGGAGAAAATCTTAAATCATCATCTAAGGAAGAGAGAAGAACATCTTTAGATGTTAATGGACAAGAGTTGAAGGTTCCAGAGGAGTTTGATTCCATAAGTCTGAAGACTAAAACGAGTATTGGGGGAGGAAGTAAACACTGTGCACTGACAACGCTTGAGGTTCTACCTAAAGCAGAGACTCCTTCCAAAAATGCTGAGATGCATCCTAATTGCAAAGACCCTTCAAGGGACTGTCACCACTGTGGCAAGCAGTTTCCAAAACCCTTTAAGCTCCAGCGTCACTTAGTTGTTCACAGCTTGCAAAAGATTTTTCTTTGTCACAAATGTCCAGTGTCCTACCAAGAGGCAAAGGAGCTTAAAGACCACCTTAAAAATGAACATGAGGAGACAGATGAGCCAGACTCAAAGCATACCACACTCTATACTTGTGAACTCTGTGCCGATGTCATGCATGTAATTAAGAAGTCCTTCATCTGCAGTACCTGCAACTACACATTTTCCAAAAAGGAACAGTTTGATCGTCACATGGAGAAGCACCTTGCTGGAGGGAACAAGATCTTCAAATTCATGGGAGTGATGAGACCTTGCAAGCTTTTTAATTCAAAAGATGATATATCTGACTTGCCACCAAGCAAGAAAAGGAAGGAAATGGGCTTGGACATCACAGCATCACACATGCAAGGCATCAAATCAGTGTTGCCAATTATAGATGACACTGCACAAAATAGTACAGAGGACCATTCTACTGAAACAAACAATACCAGTGTGAAAATTGAAGATGTAGCTGAGGACTTCCCTGTAGTTGCCAAGGACATTATAAAGTGTACAGTGCAAACTGATACAGCAGAACAGAGTCTTTCAACAGAGCTGAAGGAAGAGGATGAAAGCTCTTCTCCATCTCATGAAATCCAAGCGGATGAGCCCAGGGAGGTCAGTGCAACTGACAAAGAAGCTCTGACAGAGATTTGTGACGTTAAAATAGAAGATGACTGTTGCACAATTCCAACAACATTGTTAGATTCAGAGGTTAACGTTGCAAGCATTTCCAGACAAAACAAAGACGGGGTGGAGACAACCCCTTCAGAAAGCCTTGAAAATGCAAGTGAACAAGGGCAAACAACAGACTCATGTGTATGCACCATTCAAGTATGCAGTCAAACAGATATAAGTTTACCAAAGCAATACATGCAAGGACTCTCATCTTGCAATGACTTTGAACTCTCATCTGTGAAGCAGTCTTCAAACGAGATAAGCTACTTGAAGAAGGATCAAACAATCGAGACTTTATTCTCCATCAACAGAAATGAGAATAAACAAGATGTTCACACTCATGACAGCGAACAGCCGACTACTGGTCAGTCTAAGCACATAACTATGGTCAAATCTGAAAATAACCCAAGGTGCCTTAGTACCACTGATTCTGCACGTCACACCAACAGCTCTAATACATGTGAAGATAAGGACTCAACCAAACAACAAAAGAAGAGGAAAGAATTTAAGACATCTCACAGCTCTCAGAGAACACCATCTCCAACTGCAAGGGAAAATCTGGGCATTGACCCAAGAGTTAAAAAGAAGTTCAGACCTAGCAGGTGTGAAAATATCGATGGGCAAAGGAAAACCGATCTTCCCAATGACTATCCAGTGCTTACATCAGTAAAGGATGACACAGTCAGCAACAAAATAATCTCCAAGCATAAAA